TCGATACCAGTGACAGTCTCAATGTATGCTCGCAGGGAGTAAAAACAATGACGTTGTAGGAATTGTTTAATAGTATGTTTAAATTTTCTATTGCTCATCTTTTTCACGGTACCTGGCAAAACATTATACAATTTCAGGTTCAACGAGTTGCTCTCAGACTTCCTCAGTCTAAACCTAGGGCGTCTAAGGAGATCCCCGAACGAGTTGGATAGGAATGGCGATCAGAATTAGCGCTAAAGTTTCCTTTCGTTTTTTGGATCTCTAATAACTGGTAGTAGATATAGATGCAAGGAAGGGGCATCACTTTAAAATTTTTAGAATAAGGTTGACAATGGTCCCTATATCCTATATTAGCAACGACTCGAATGGCCCTTTTCTGCATTCTAAAAATCTCCACAGCAGCTGAGGAATCACCCCACAGCACCCTACCATAGCATAAGTGTGAATGCAACAAAGAAAAATAGACCATAAGCAGAGTTCTTGTTCCTATCAGACCTTTCAGTCGTCGAAGAACGAATATGTTGCTGGACAATCTATTTTTCAGATCTAAGATATGTTGTTTCCAATTTAGACTATCTTCGATCCTAATGCCAAGCAACTTGACGGACTGTCCACCATTTACCAAGCAATTGGAGGAAAACGCAATACTCTGGGTCTTGTCTAAATTTAATTTAAGTTCATTATTTTCGAACCAGGCATTAGCCCTGTCCTCCAACATGCCAACCCTAACGGACAACTCCTGGACACTCTTAGCAGATGTAGTGAAGGATGTATCGTCGGCAAACATCACGCAGTGATTGGGGGCCAAGAAATGATAAAGGTCATTTATGTAGATTGTAAATAGTAGCGGGCCCAGGACGGAACCCTGGGGCACCCCGCTTACTACTGATTCAAGTGATGAACTTTCATCCTGGTATTCTACAAACTGCTGTCGGCCCTGCAAGTAGGACGCTATAAGATCTAAGGGCAGACCTCGTATACCATATCTATATAGCTTTTTAATAAGAAGCTGGTGAGAAACACAGTCGAAGGCTCTGGAGAGATCACACAAGGTCAAACCAACTATCGAGGCCCTCAACTATCCCACTCACGAACTTTTTGAAAACAAGATTCAAAATTATCTTTCCAAAAATATTATTGCAAAAAAAGGTTTTTAAGGGAGTGACAAATTAAAAACCAATCCTTATATGGTAGGAGACATAAAATGGTCGTCCTTTTGAAATTAGGCACACCATCAGCACGATTTTGAGATAAAATAATTAACGCCCCTATCGGATAACCGCCCAACCTGCCCAATATATAATTGATAATCCCACATAAATGCCATAAATATATATAGGCGTTATCGGGACGTAATTAAAGTTAGAACGTATCCCCGTAGTTTATCGTCGATGTAGCCCCGTCCATAACGCGAAATATCATTTCGTGTTTGTGTCCCCCCACCCCCCCCAAATTTCACGTCAAAAGGGCAACGTTTAATTAAATATTCGTAAAATAATATCTATCAAATATTAAACGGCAGTATAAAATAAATACGTCAATGTTTTTAATTAAAACGAATGTTTGGCGCAGGCATCGTCAAATAAACTAAATTCAATGTCAAAAATTTACTTTTATCTCTACGCGCATCTCTCTATTCCGGAATTAAAAGTTAGTCCATTACCGTTCGCAATAGCGGTCCGTTTCCCCGCGTCGCACTTTTCGATACCCAATGTGTGTTTTTAACACGTTAACAACCCTAAGGTTTTACACAAGTCAAATTCGACATATTCGACATATATGTACAATTACAAAGGCACCGCGACATAACACAGAAAACGCTAACCACTAATAAAATTGGTAAAAAGAGAGGTAATAGAGAATTGCTATCCGGCAGCTCTCTGACGCTGAGAGGCAACAGATTGAAGAATTTAGGTCCGTAATAGTTCTTATAGTGCCTAGTCTTTACAATTCTTGAGTAGTTAAGCAACATATCATTTCTGTTTCTGGTGAGATGCTGGCAAACATTAATATGAAGGAGATATTGATAATGATTGCTGTTAGCATAATTTAAACCTTTGCTCTTACGTCATCAATAAAGTTCAACTGCGTCATCGCCCTGACGGCTCGCCTCTGAATCGAAAAAACTCTTTCGGTATGTGAGGAGTGACCCCAAACCAAAATTGCGTAGCTAAATAATCCCTGAAAGAGTGAAAAATATACCATTTTGACTATACTTTGGGAGACCTCGCCGACCAACCGCGCAACAAGTACACCACCCTGGAAAGCTTCTCTCAAAGACGGATCAAGCAGAACCCCAAGACAGTTCATATCTAATGGATTGTTGAATGTTGACTCGAGTAAAGAAAATACAATTTGTTGTATTTTTGATTCATTGTTGTTAGCACGAAACCACTCACTATCCCAGGACTCTGCCCCCTCCATCCTGTGCACCAAGTCGTTCTCAGAAGGACTTCGACAAGAAAAGGTAGTATCATTAGTCACCAATATGCTCAGGGAGATCGTTTATATAGATCAAGAATAGAAGAGGGCCCATAATGGATCCTTGGTTTACTCCATGTTCGACGACTCTAATTTGTAATGATTTTCCATTCAGAACCACGGTCTGCCTCCTGTTGAAAAGATCACTTTGAAGGAATCCAACGGTTGAGGGATCCACGCCATACCGCTGCAATTTACACAGTCAAACGCTTTAGAAAGGTCGCATAGGACTGTGCCTTCGAAAGCTGCGTAAACCTGATGAAGAACTTTACTAATCGCTCCACAAATCGATCTACCACGTCTAAACTCAAAATGGCCCGGAGACAACAAATGGTTGTCCTCGAATTAAGCTGCTAATTGAGAACATAAAATCTTTTCAATATTTTTTTTCTATAATAATAATTATAGTAATAAAATACTATGGCTACTGAAGCAATACTTGGGATATGCATAGTTTGTATTGCAATTTGTTGATACCTAATATCTATAGTATTTGTAGTAGTTTCACAAAACATTTGAAAAATGAAAATCATTAAAAACCTGAAAATATCGAAAACAATTTTTTTTTTATTTATTTATTATTTAAATTAAATTGTCCAAAAATATTAGAGTCATATTTTATTTGTATAATTTCTCTATATTTAAAATTTATTCAATTTTTAGGTAACAGAACGTAGTCGCTAGATGCCAAGTCGAACATTAATTTTCGAATTTTAGTTAATGCATCAATTGATACATTCAAAGGTCAATTCTATGAATTTCAAAAAATGTTCGCTAAAACTAAATTTGCTGGAGCTGGTTCACTATTTAGACTTTTTTTGTTTTTAAGAGTTCAATGCAAATGCAAATGTATACATTAATTAAGGATGGTATACAATGCTAATAATATTTTTTATATAGAACTTTCTATATCAGAAACGAGACTTATCGACACATCCTCGTAGTTTAAGCCTCGAATCATTTCGATGCGCATCATCTCTGTCTAGTCTTTGAAAACTTCCTCCCTTTAATATCACTCGATCAAGTGTGAGAACCTTCCTATGATCAATGGTAAATTATAGGGAAAGTGGACAAACACGTGCCATGCGCACGGCTCGAGTTCATTCAACTACGATCACCCTGAAAGGTTTCGGATTATTTTTCAATCGATTAACTCCCCAAAATAATATATAGTAACATTCCTCCCCAACGTTGACATTTCGGCGGATCATATTTACATAATTTTTTTTATTTATCGCCGACGTGGATTCCTATTTCCTTATTTACTTCGAGTTCTTTCATCATATGTAGCAAAAGGCCTAAATTAGGCAAAGGCTAATAGATAGATGAAAGATAGATTTAAGTCAATAGATGTCGTTATTATACATGTACTTTTGGATTGTTGCTTTTGTGTCACATGAGGAAGGAGTTTTAGTCAACTGTCTACTGTGAAAACTTGCATTATCCATTACAATGACGCTATTAAGAGAAATGTTTGGAACTAGTGTTTTTTTAAACCAATTTTCAAATAAATCAGCGGCGGTGTCTTCATGGTAATCCAGTCGAACCAGGTTTCATCCAAGTAAATAATTGGCCTTTGTTGTTCTCCGTAAATCTAGATATTCCAGTCGCCATTTCCGATTTCGAAAAGATTAAATTAAAACTTGCGTTTTGTCAATTTTTTTAAATCTAAAACCCATGCATTGAATAAAAGAATTTCAAAAATATTGTAAATAAACCAAAAATAATGGACCTAGCAGAATATATTCTACCCGCACGCGGACCTATTTAAAAATTATTATAATTTACAATTATTCACAGACCACAGTCACCATCCAGGGGAAAGGTCATAACAGATATAAATTAAAGCATACATTTCTTTTTATCAAAGATGAATATTTTTTAATTACAGACTTTAACAGAAGCTGTATAAAATGCCGATCTGTTGGCTCAATCCATCTTTTTATTTTTGATTTAAAACGTCTTGTTGTTTGAAGCTGTTTCACAGGATGTCGTAGGCCGTCGGGGCATAGTTTCGAAATGAATTACATTTTATTTAAACTACTGGACCTGGAGCTTTAGTTTCATCTAGTTTATTTTTAATAAACCAAAATCAAACAAAAATTCATTTTTGATTTTTATTTAGGGGCAGAAAGAATGATAAAGTATTGATATTCTTTTCTTATATTTTCTCGCAACCATGACCAAAACCAAACCAAAACTCAAATTTTTTTTATTATTACCCATAATAGAAACAGACGGAGATCCGATATTCTTTGCTCCCTCCAGAGTACAACTCAAAAATGGCAAATTTTCTGTTATTTACACATCTACCAGAGTTGTTTTCCTCTTTTCAATATCACAAGAGACTGTTTAGGTACCGACTACTCTCAAAAAACAATAATCTGGATCTTGATAACGACCTGTACTCTTCAATGTTTTCAAAATATGCATATTTCTGATAAGAGGCGAATTTGAGAGAGTTGCTGATAAATTCCTCAATTAACTTTTTGGGTGTATGCAAACAGTATCAACTGATTGTCTACGTAAGCGCTTAGATTTCGAGTACGAACGATAACATCTACATAGCACCAGTATATGCTTTTTGCATTGTTATCGATTAATGTTGGTAAAATGAGCTTACGCGTTGTAGTAATCGCGGTGCTCTCCATCTCCGCTCTAAGTGTTGGTAAAGTGCGTATACAAAGCCCACGAAAGAAAAATCACTGTAATCAAGAAACTTTTTTAGGATGTAAGCATGCGAGTCATAGGCGGTCAAAACGCAACTGGACCCATACCGTACCAAGCCTTTGTAGAATTTACTGCGGAAAATGGAACTTCTTGGCCATGCGGAGGATCGCTGATTGCTGCGAGATACGTTCTGACATCTGCAACCTGTACCTACGCGTAAGTGGGAATAGAAATTAAGCTTATAGTTAGAGTATGTAAGTTTTTTCCGTACATGTTTCTAAAAGAGTCGCGAGGTCCGATAAATAGAGCAGCAGAGTAGTTTAAAGGGATCATATCACACTGCCTTGTTTATATGCCTATTTGAATATTATGTCACTTTATTCCAGGCATAAGCAGCTTTTGGTTGTTGGAAATCCTTCACTTCCATCAATTTTCATGTGACATTTACTTCCTTACTTTTTAGTGCGACCAAAGCCTCAGTCATACTGGGTGCGTTTGACTTGAATGATCAATCCGAGAACACTAGGCAAACGTTCAACGTGAGCAGCATCATACCGCACCAGGAGTACAACGAAGACGTTCTTCTCAACGACGTAGCGTTACTGCAATTGGACTCTTCAGCTGTAATTAACGACGCCGTTCAGGTGATTCCTCTGGCAGATGCATCGCAAGCCGACGACACGCTACAAGACCAGATTGCAGCAGTGAGCGGATGGGGCAAGACGAGCCCTTTCCAGGAAGGGTATTCGACCTATTTACTTAACGGATCGGTGCCCATAATTGACGTCAGAATATGCGAAACAGCTTACTACGATCTGGTAAGAAGAGACAGACACCTATGTTCCCGCAATGTGGATGAAAGCGTGTCTATGTGCGACGGAGACTTTGGTGGGCCGCTGGTCATCAATGGGACTTTATACGGGGTGCAATCCTTTAACATTGCCGGTTGTTACGTGGGATTCCCATCGGTTTATTCGAAAATTACGTTCTATCTCGACTGGATAGAAGAGAACATTTTGGTTAATTTGTAATAACAAAAAATAAATTATTGTTCGTCGATAGGTATTTTTGTGTTTATCTTGGACGAGTGCATCTGATATACTTCTTATCTACACTTGTTTGAGGGCATGCGATGCAAAGATCGCAAAGCGGTTTTCCATTTGCGAATGTGGACGCGAGTAAGGCAACAGAAATGTCCTTTAACGTATTTTTTTGGTGCGTTGTTATTTTCAACGCAGGACAAGCAGTATGGGTAAGTTTTAATACTTCTTCCTTAGTTCACGCTACATTAAGATAAAGATTTGGAAAAATTGATAATGCTGAAGAAAAGCTAAGTAGTGCAATGAAATTCTATACCCAAACTTTGAACATATTGTTGAGTGCAAACTTCTTGCTCTCCCTCTAATATACGACATTAGTTTATCTTCCACATGACGCTAATGTCATTGAGAAATATTGGTTCTTGCATAATTAACGCTAACGCTGTCAGTATTTTTGTAGAATATCCCATATGTAGAAGCACTACAGTTACTCTATTATGAATTCAGTGACTTATAAAAAAAATAAATGAGGATTCAACTTCATCTCACCGAGATTATCCATAATCTGGAAAGTGGTAGTATGTTAGATGAACTTTTTGGCAAAGCTTTTACCAACCAGAGGTTTCTGAGATCCCACCAGAACCACCTCAATGTATCTGCTTTCACTAGAGACGAAATCTTGTGTGCACTAGACGAATGTCTTGGTGGATCCCCTTCAATGTTACCCTCAATAACCCTACTTTTCCCGAGAAATAGGAAGCATCGCGTATTACGTCTATTGTTAAAAAGGACAGCAGTCTTAATCCCGCTTTCGTTGTGATGGGCTATTGTGATTCAGTGTTGATTTATAGTGTCTCAACGCCGCTATCGAGATTATAAACGGACACGACGCCACTGCCTCTTCTGTGCCGTATTTGGCCTATGTGAAGCTACAGTCGGGCGAAGAAGACTGGTTTTGCGGGGGAAGTCTAATATCTCAGAATTACGTGCTCACTTCCGCAAATTGCACCTACAGGTAGCCATATTATTATTCGCTTATTTGTTGTCTATATGGTTTCGTTTCTAGGGCTGAGAACTTCACCGTCGTGTTGGGAGCTTACGACATCAGCTCAAGCAACGAGTCAACCAGACAAGTATTCACGGGAACCAGAGATTCCATTATTCAGCACGAGCGTTACTTTGCCGATGTGTTTTTAAACGATATAGCTCTCATCAAACTAAGTCAGGCGGCTGTTATTAACGACGCGGTTCAAATAATCCCTCTAACATCGGGAGGAGATCCGAACCTGGAGGGTCAGAATGCTACCATCAGCGGCTGGGGCACTACGGATGGTTTCGACGAATATCCGGCGGTATTGCTGAATGGTGACGTTACTGTATCCAATATCTCGGTGTGCGAACACATCTACATCGACTTAATCCAAAGGGATAAACAGTTTTGTACAATTAACGACGACATAGGCGTTTCGATCTGCGACGGTGACTTTGGCGGACCCCTGGCCATCAACGGAACCCTATATGGCGTTCAGTCGTTCATCATACCCTACTGCTACATCGGATTTCCTTCCGTCTACACTAAATTATCCTTTTATTTGGAATGGATTGCAAAGAATAGCGACGTATCGCTTCAATGAGCAGTGAATATATACGAGTTTTATGGTTCGAGGCTCATTATTTTAATTACCAACCTGAAAATAACTTGCACTGGTAAAACAATTATTGTACTACGAACTTGCAAAGTGAGCTTAAAAATTTCAATCAGGAAAAATGGGCATCAGAAACATATATATCGAAATTATTTTTTCTAACGGTCTGGTTAGTTTACTCCAAGTCGGTTTTAACGGTCTCATAAGTTAAACTTGCTGACGTTTCGCTAATCATCTGACGTAAAAATAAAACAAAATAAATCCGAATTTCAAGAAGATGAGTCTGATTGAAGTCGCTAATTCTGACTTATATTGAAGAAACTCTGACCCATTTTTCAGAGAATCTCATTTATCTGAGTTATCTTCATTCAATCTTCAATTTTATGTTCGACAATAACCGATCGGCGATAGAAAAAACAGCTTTTAAAATGCACTTCGAAAAAGTAATCGAAACAGTATAATATTTTGGGGTCGAAATGCGGCAAAAATAATGGATGCCGATTTGCAACACGTCGCATGAATTACATTTAAATATAAATCGCTTTTTATGGTTAATGGTGAAATGAGAGTGTAAGTCGTCAATTTTAAAATAAAGCGCCCGACGAGGGTACACGAAAACCGCCGCCGAGTACAGGGTGGTCCAAATTGGACACTTTTAAAGGAGATAAACGAAAACTGATGACGCTGTGTGTTTCCATTAAAAGATTTCCATATATTTTATGCAAAAAATAGTTATAAAATGAAAAAGAGCTTTAAAAATACATTTATAAAAATATATTTTGATATTTTGAAGGCGTTCTAAAAGTTTGCCTAAAATGGCACATTGGTGACAGGTGACAGGTGAGTTGCGGTTCAGATTGTTTAGTTGCTTATAGATTTCTATAAATTTTCTGATTTTTCGTTGGTAGAACCATTTACATGCAAGATTTTTCATTTTATCGAATAACATTTTATATCCTGTCTCGTGATTGTGTTCGGCAACTGTTGATTAGTTTATTTGTGCTAGCTAGTCTTAAGGCTCTTTCATGTTCTTTGAGCCTGCTTGATATTTGCATGGAATTATGTAAACACCTCTCAAACAAAATTTGGTCCTTGATATATTGAAGATGTTGAGAGATATTTGAACAACTTTTGATATGTGGTTAGCGATGTTTTGAATATAAGGACAGCAGTGGTAAGGGTGGGGTTGTTATCGGACTTATTGTCTTTGGGAGATTGTGATGAAGTATATTTTGTGATATGATGAAATTATTAGAGGGAACGTTGTTTTAGTTCTATGTTTTACGGCTCTGTAACCAAGTAAGTTGCATTAAAGTATCAGTCCGTGTGTGTGTAGGTTTTTTGTAAAGAGAATGATCCAATGTTAGGTCTAATTTTCCATTAATAAGAATCTCTAAGAATGGGAGATTATTATTTATAATTAAATGGTAAATGTATAGAGTTTAAGTGTGTAAGAAAATCTAATAGGAATACGAGTATTATCGACGTAGCGTTCAAATTATTTTTTTTGGCTTTTGTTGGAAGGTGTCGAGATATCATCCATAAATGTATTCGTGATGACTGGTGATATTGGCGAACCCTTAGCTTTTCCCATAGTTTGTTCAAAAATTTGACTGTTATAAGAAAAATATTTCCCAGACAAGCATTTCTCGATTAAGATGAGGTTTGGTTCTAGGTTCTCTGATTTCAATATATCTGAAATGATGTTCAGGAATAGGGTCTTTAGTACAAAGAGATTCTATGTCGAAACTAACCAGAATATCAGTTTTAATATAAAAGCTAGATATTTCGCCAGAGAATAAGTTGGAGAACCAATGGTGCTGACAATATGTATGTGAATTTTATGGACTCCGTGAATCTTATGTAGATAATGAAATTCAGATACTACAGCAATGAAGTCCAGAGCGGAGGAGTAACGGCTTCACAGCTTTGCTGTCCATTCACGCTACCTTTCCTAACTCAATTTATTAATTTTTGTATACTAAACTCAGTCTTTCCGGAATGCTGGAAAAGAGATCTAGTATCGCCATTGCCCAAAATTTCCAACCCCAAAAGTTACAAAGATTTACTCCCAATTAGTGTTTTACCGTGCTTGTCGATTATACTAGAGAAATGGATAATAGAACATTCTTCCAGAAACTCAATAAGGCTTCTGTAACAGACGATATATTGCGGACAGTAGACGAGAGTTTTCTCACGGTGCTGGCAATTCTGCACTTTTTATCAAGTAGATCTCAGTGTGACAGGATCGAATCTGTATTATCAGAACCACTAGACCTCCGTTGCTCCAAAGGAACTAAAAAAATGTCCAGCCCAATTTTACGCTGACGATAAGCCGGTGAGGACGAGCGTGGAATATTGAATATGTAGCTAAATACATTGAAAGGATTGTCTTTAAAGCACTCCCTCCTTCTTAATCCCCAAAAATGTTGCTTATTATTATTCTTAGGACGTAAATTAGATATTCACAGTGCAAAGGACAATATAAGGGTTGAAATGGAGGATACTGTTTTGCCCATAAAAGAGACTGTATGTAATTTTGGCTTAGTATTTGATGGTTCTCTTAGATTTACAGAATAAAACATACATATAGTGATAGTCACTTTATATCAAAAAAGACTTTGCTTTGCGACTCCCTCGTACTATCCTTATTCATTATATTATTATTATAGGTACACTTCTAGGCCTAGGTTAAGTTTATAAATTAACTAATTTCCTGCGTGGTTAAGTGGATCAGGGATTTCCTCCTGTGAGATTCTCATCTTCAGTTCTGTGAGCTAATTGGTTGTTTTTACCCCAGGTAGACAGCTAACCTCGCCTAGGAACCCTCCTCCTTTATCCGGGCTTGGGACCGGCAGTGCCATCCGCAGAGCTACTCAATCCGCCCCTCAGATCATCATATCGCTTCCGCAATATCAGGATGCCTACGAGATATAGTCTGGTCCAATCAAGACGAAACAAATGCTAAGGGCAGCAGGGATGAAAGCACTGAGGACAATAGTGGGGAAAACAAGAAGAGACAGAGTAAGAAACACAGATGTCAGAGAGCAGTGCGGGATACAAGATATCGTGAGATGGGGAAGACAACGTAAGAGGCAGTGCTACAACCATGCAAGACGGACGGACGAGAACAGACTTCCGAGAATAGTCCTGGAAAACAACCCGTCCGGCCCAAGACCTCCCGGGAGACCACCTAAGAGGTGGAAAGATAGTTGTAAATCCACATCGCAGAGGCAGCTTCAGAATTAACAGATCGACAGATCTCCAAGAAGTAGAAGAAGAAGAAGAAGAAGAGATTCTAATCTGAACTTCGCCATTTTTTGAGCATTTGTTTACTTGCTTCTCGCTATTCATTTGTAAAATTTGTTCGAAAATAAAGACATTATTATTATTATTGTTATTATTATTATTATTATTATTATTATTTCCTCAATATCAATAATATCAGTAAAGAATAAAAATGGTCCGCTAGCACTTTTTACAATTATATATTTGGAAACTTTCATCTGCAATTACTAGACTTGCGATGAATGAACGGACGTTCTATCTATGTGAGGATGCCTCTTGAATAATTTTTCCACTCACATTTTGATAATTTAGTTTGTTATTTATTTTTTATTTTATTTACATTTGTTGTAGGGGTTAAACCAATATGTTTATTAAAACAAAATTTTTGTACATGTAGAAGTTGTATCTCTGTGGATAGGGGCTTCTTAAGCCTTCTTAGATTTAATATCATTGCGACAACAACCTCGTTCAGTTCACTTATCCGTCGTAGTTGCCAAATTTCATTTAAACAGTGAAAAAAAAAAAGCGTTGTCGCGACGACACCGAGAAAAGCGGGACTGTAATTTCTTGAGCACAATCGGAATAAAAGCTCCTGAAACAATGGCGTTGCCAACTAAACCTTCGACGTTGTCCCGCCGCGTCGTCTCAGCCCTTTGTTTCGCGAACAACATTCCGTCGTCGGTTCGGGATTTGTGTGGCAAATTAGACGACTCGGGATGAATTCTTGATGAGTTGGATTAGTTGTTATATGACAGGTGTTGGTTTACTTGCTTAACGAAAGCTCAGATGCCGTCGGTAAACTGTAACGGATCCCAAAGGCGGGGGAAAGTACACGCAAAACGCGTTTCCTATTACATTCGTTTTCTTCTGCCATATTCTTGTAGTTGTCAATCGGATAAAATAATACGAATACTTGGCAAAGAAAATATGGAGTGATGTTCGTCAGAGCCGATAAATTGCTGCTGAAATCGGTGCAATGCGACCCGAAATGAACGGATTCGAAAAATGCCACCAGATTTTTTTTATGAGCTCTAGTTTTTGAAAGTCAGGTTTATTGTTATTAGTTTTGATAAAGGACAAGAGGAAGGAATAGATTCATACCTAATACTCGGCTTCATGCTTTTTATAGTAATGGATATAAGAATAATTATAAAAGTCTGCACAGCATGCGTGCTACTCAGGTTAACTTAATGTTTCTCGTAGATAACAAAGCAATCTGTATGTGCATTATACTTTGGAAGTATTAAAAATGAAAGCAATATAAGAAAGAAAAGATGAAACTGATATAAAACGGAGGAATATCGATTGTTAATTATACTAAATCAAGACTGATCTCGAAAAAGTGTGAAGCAAAGTTCTGGAACATAAAATCAAAATCTACAAATATCCAGTTTTTGATTTTATCTATTAATTAAGGCAAAGCCGTAAGTCAGGGACCCGTACTACCCGTAATAATATACAGGGAGTCTCATTTAAGAAAATGTATCATTTTGCGGAACACAGTACTTTAAGAAATAATTTTAAATTTGATTATTGCCTAGAGAAAAGCATTATTTTCGTAAAATTAACAACAATGATGGTTTATACATAACCGGAATTCTGAAGAGGATCGTTAATAAGTTCGAAACGGTACATCACAGACGCATACTCATATATATCGTCGAAATTGTCTTTGCAAGGACTATCCAATAAAATGTGAAACTTTGTTTTACCAAAATTCACCAAAAA